TTAGGGGCGGAATCACAATTTTGGAACAGGTTTTATGGAATACACAATTTTTATTGAGCGAGAGCCTTATAATAATGAAAATGCCTTTTCAATATTAAATATTTTTGCGAAAATTTTAACTATAACCGTTTCGATAAAGCAATGAAAAGTTTTTGCATCTCACAGTTTCCATCTTTACAGTTACATCTTACAGTTTAATCTATATATTATAGTACTACTTTCACATCATTATCCTGCATGTACATTCTACAGTCAAGGCGTAAAAAATATTTAAAAACCTTTATTTTATAGTTGTACCATTATTTGAATTTATTGACACAATATTCCCGATTAAATTTGGATAAAATTTCAATCAAGCACTTAAAAAAATTTGAAATTGAATGATTTCCTTGAACTTTAGAGTAAAAGTTTGTTCAATGCAACTGTAATAAAATTCATTTACGCAAATTTTAATTTTTTTAATTAATATTTTGATATTACATGAATATGAAGCTTTAATAGTCCGAATTTGGAAAATTTTGCATTATCATATTAATTCAATTTAGAATGTTAGCTATAAATGAACTGCAACTTAGTTTCGTAATTTGTTAACATAAGTCTTAGGTTTAAAATGTAAAAATAAGATAACAGTTCTTTGAAATCAAATCAAATATCAGCATTTTTTTTTCATTTGTTTGTTTAATAAACTTAGATCAAAAAGGTAAATAAAATTAAAATTACAGCATAAAAAGGTGACTGCATAATGCACTTACGGAAAGTATACATATCCACACATATTCACACGTTTAAAAAATTTTTGGCATTAAAATGTTGTTATTAATTACAACAGATAGTTTCTTTTAAACTCTTTAAAGTTTAAGTTCCAAATCTATCCTTTAATTAAGTATAAAATAATTAATAAATGATAAAAATAATGCACTCCAGTTATCAGCATTAAGGGAAATGAAAAAAAAGCTCTCATTTATCATTTGAAAGCAACATTTCAAATTAATTCAAGTTCGTAAAACAGCACATTTTCCCTTAATAATTTAAGTCTAGACCTTGTATTTATACCTTTGTAATGGAAACAAAAATTAAAGTGTTATAAAATTTCGAATAAGAACACCGAAGAAAGAAAGCAGTTATAGAGAAATTTCTTTTTGTAAAAAAATTTTTTTTATCGATACCACAAAAATATTTAAAATAGAAATCCAGCCAAGTAACCGTGTGGAGGAAAAATTATTTTTAAAAATTAGCATATAACCAATTTAAGATAACAATTAAACTGAAAGGCTCAATTTAGTATTAAAAGAATCAATATGCGACAGAACAAATAAACTTTCTCCTCTGGTTTTATAAGAGAAAATTTGTTAAAAACTTGAATTTTCACGATTTTGCAGAGCTGTAACTTAATGATTTGGTGCGGAAAAGGTAGAAATTTTTTTCTAGAAGATACACTACATTCTAAAACAAAATTACCTTTCACTAAGATCTATTTGTATTTGCTAACGAATATTCTATTTGTAACCTTTTTCAAAGTTTGTAGAAAGATATGAAATAGTCGCACAGACAAATGGGCAGATAGAATGAATAGGATAATTTTTTTTTAAATTTTTGAAAATATGCTTAAAAATAAAAAAAAATCACCTTATCAAGAAAAGTGGATGATAAAAGCTTGGAGTAACTTCCTGTTGAACCAACGCCTCAATTTATTAAAATATAGAACGAACGAACTAGAAGTAATTTAGTATCGCCCGTTTATTGAAGCACTTTATTAGAAAGTAAAAAAAGGAAGAAATAAAAAATTTAAACGTGGTTTTTGGTGTTCATAAAGTTTTGCATATTTAAAAGAGTAAGAATATTAATTTTTTAAATTTTAAATAATTTTAAACAGAGTGCACAAGTTTAAATAAAATGGCTGCTATTTTATTTTATTTACCACTGAACAATTTTCCGATTATTTTATTGATTGGAATAAAATTTTTTTTCTCTCTTATTTAAATTGTTAAGTAAAAACAAGAATAAATTAAAGAATATGGCAGCCATTTCATTTAAAATTAAATTCAATGTTTCGATAATTTTTTTAAAACCAATTGTAACATCTATTTTGCTGTCAAATATGGCATCACATTATACGTTCATTGCAGTTGAAACATTGAATTTCATATTGAATTTTTTTTGTTTTCTATTTTGAATTAACAAATTGTATTTTGGAACGATTTATGTATATAATAATTAAATAGAATTTAAGCATAATTGTAAAATTTAAAGAAAAAATTTTCAAGCATTTTTCAAGCAACAGCATACTGCATGACTGCATTTTTAATTTTGCCTAGAATTTTCTAAAATTTTCTATTTACTTATTATTATATCTTATCACTGATTCAACATTAGAATACAAAAGTTCCCCTATCTGATAGTTACATGTGGTTACATTAATATCCAATATTTGATAAACCTTTATTATTTAATATTATCCTGTTACTGTGATTATATTTTTTAATTGTAATTTTGTGCTACAAAGAAAAAATTCCTGCTCTACATCTAATTGAAATTTCGTACTTTTTGATTTATTTGTTGTAATCGTTAAAAGGTTTTTGTTAATTATTTTGCAAAATTGTAAAAAAATTATAAAATTAATTTCATTAATTTATAACGTTTAATTAACACGTTTTTGAATTAGGAAGAAAGTACGAGATATGAAGGAGTTAATTATTATATTTAGAGTTTTATATATACATAATAAGTGCATCGGTAGTACATAGCTTATTTTTGTAGTATAAAACTATATTTAAGTTTTTCCCAGAGTCAAAGCTTCTGCCTTTTAAAAAATATTGAAACGCAAAACCGAAATTCCAAAAATATTTCGAATTTTGTTAGAAAGTGTATATCTCTGCATTTCTAATGCACTTATCAAATATTTCCCTACTTGCGTTCAAAATAAAAAAAAAAATAGAAAAATTGCATAATTTTTCAAATTCATAAGTTCTACACGTACATGCATATGTGCGAGGATTTATGTACATAATGATAATGACTATTACAAATAAGTATATTTACCTAAACTCTCTTAAGTGGAAGACTCAGTGTTTTGGTAGAAGAAAATTTCTAAAATGAATTTTATGAATCGAAGTTTTTGTGCAGCGCTCCAAGTATTTTTAATAAACAAATTAATATTCGGAAATTTCAATTTTTTTATTTTTAGAATTTATATACAGTAGTACACTGACATTGCTATGTATGTGTAATAAATTTTTAATTAATTTTTATAAAAAAAGAAATCTATTCCTTTTAAGCATATGAAATTATTCCTATATTTTATAAAAATAAAAGCATACAAATTTTACAAGCTAATATTACGTCATAATGTCGAAAATTAATGAATAACACTGGCCAAAAATAACATTAGAATGTTATGTACATACTTATGTACTTTCACATTATGTATATACTTTAAAAATTTTGGTATTTTGGGAATTGTCGGAATTTAACTAATAAAAAAAAAATAATAATAAAAAATTGGCAATTCTGACCGGAATTGCAAAATATTTTTATCGTGTAAATACAAAAACAATTCTTTAAAATTCAATTTTCTTGAAATTGGCGCTTGAATTGACGTTTACATATACATTTATATATATATGTATATATATTCACAATCATAAGACATTTGCCGTTATGGCATAAGGCATTTTTGATTCTGCATTCTGAATTTCTTAATAAAAATAATAAATTTTATATGATTTGTAATATTTCTTCTTACTTTAAGATTCTCTAAAGAAGTATTCTTAAAATACAATAGTACAGTTTCATTAAAATTCATTGAAAAAAAAAAATAAGTTTTCCATAGTACATACATGTTAACTTATTTTTAGATTTTGATCTTATGGTTTGGTTTGACACCTCAAAATCTGTTTGTATTTTTAAAATTGTGTTTTAAAACGTACTGTTCTTATACTCTAAAATTTTTTAAGTATAATTTTAACATTTACTTAATACGAATGCGGTTAGCTACCCAATATGTATAAAAGATAACCTTCTGTAAAGCCCTTAATATAGAAGGTTTCCGTTTATATTAAGGGATGTATACACGAACATTCATTCAAATAATTGATAAAACGAAATTAAAAAATTGCAGTAAAACGTTTTTTAAAACATACTTTTATAATAGCATTTTTAGGGGCACTCGTAACAAAAAACCAAATATTTACACAAAATGAAATTGCCGAAATTATACATACTTGAAATTTCAATCAAAATATAATAATAAGACCAGGATTTTTATTTTTTAATAAAGAAACATGTGTCTATCATTATCTTAATAATCTAAATTTAATTACAAAAATTTAATATTTAGAAAATCCTGCTAATAATTATAAAAATAATAATATATGAAATATATATTATTTATAAAAATAATTTTATTAAGTTATCGAATTTATAATTTGACGTCGAATCAAAAATGTTAATTAAAATTTTAAATAATTGTTTGAAAAATTAACATTAAAATAAAAGTCTTTGAAAATTTTTAAGTGCAAAACAGAAAATCAAATTTACAATATCTTATGCCAAAAATTACATGTTAACTAACATTATAAAAATCAAATTTTAAAGCATTAATTTAACGCACCTATACATTTATCGCTTTAATTTAAAATGAATACTGGTGCATATGTATATGCAAAAATATATGTATGTATAAACATGTAAATAAGTGTATGTAGTATACGACATATATATATATATTTAAACTTGACCGTGATCGATTATATTTGCCTGTACATACATTCATGTATTTTATGTACGTGCTTAATTTATGTTAATATGCTCTATATTCATAAATATTTACCTAAAATATTATATCTATGTATATGTATTCATTTGAAAAGTACATACATATATTCTCTATACATACTTGTATACCTACATTTATATATACAAATGCATTTTCTCTTATGAATTATGATGCAATTCTATATGGGAAAGCTTTTCAGATATAATTCTGAATTCGTGAAGAAAACATCTGTTGTAAGAAAAAAAGTTAAAAAAAAAAATTTTTTTTTGTGTATTTTTTATTTTATTTTGAACTTAACCTCTAAAAAATAAAGTGCGGTTTTTAAAACAAATAAAGAAAAATCAAGAATTTCGACAAATCAATAAACAATGAAAATTATTTTCAAAAGTCTTCCGGTTAATGATAGTGAATTAATTTCCGGGAATGATTTTTCCTCAAATTACGAAAAAGATTTACTATCAAATATCATAAGTCATTATGATGATGATATTGATGATAATAATTATCATAAGACTTATGTAAATGATTTTTCACAATATAATAATATGGCTGCAATACAAGATTCAACAACAGATAAAATTGAAATCATAAGTTCTCATCAATATAATCTAATTGAAAATGCTGAAAAAATTCAATATTATATTTCAATAATAATTGCAATTATTGGAATATTCATGTTATTAGCTCTAATGATATTTTTGCAAAAAGAGAAAAAATCCAAATTGAAATATTTGAATAAAATTAAGGAATATTTTTGTACAGGTATGTAATTGAACTTAAAATTGTAAAAATAGGTATATACACAAATAAATTTACTAACTATATACAAAACTATGATATTATTGTGTAATAAATTAAAATTTCCACTTTTATTGTTGGATTTATAACTTGCATTAATTATTTGAATCTCATCTACTTGCAAAATTTTTCGTGATTTTTACAAAATTCATTTTATTTTTACAAAGCACATATTAAGCAAAACACATTTTATTTTCATAATTTTTTTGTTTTTTTTTTTCTACGTAACTCGATATATTTTTAATGTTACATAATGTGCAAAGTTCATCAAGAAACACGAAAATTGTATATCAGTATTGATACTTTTGGAAATTTCATTAAACTTACCCGCCGATTAAAAATATTTTAAACAATGATAAACACTTACTGGTCGGTTTACATGAGTTTGTAAGAGCGAAGTCATAAGATTAAGTATAAGAATTGTAAAATTTATATTTATATGAGATAAAGCGCCGGCATATAATGAGCTCATCTCAGGCAAAGTATGAATTTAATATTCATGGGATAAATATCTTCAATTGAAATAATAAAAATAAAATTATTTTGAAAAATAAATTAAAAAACAAAAAAGTTGGCTACGCATTTTTTTTATTCTGTTAATAATTATGAATTTGATAACATGATTTGCTTCTCAATAAATATGTTATAAAATATCGGAATTACACTATAACTCATATCATAACATAAATCATTTGAATAAATCATAAAGTAACCATTGTCAATTGTAATTGTTTTAAGTTAAATTTCTGAAAAAAAAATTTCCCACAAAGTTTCCTTCCGCTTGAAAAAAATTCCAAAAATCATCATTCATATACAGAAAAACATGTTAAGACTTAAGGATAGCATGTTATTATAAATAATGAAAATAATTAATTTTGACACAAATTTACCATATAAAATTTCTCTTCAAACACTTAGCTTATAATAGCAGATAACATTCGATATAATCTGAACGACGTGTTATACTCTAATTTGTTATAATTATTTTATGTGTAACAATTTTTGATACATAAAAATCTTTAAACGTTTCCCTACTCTTTCGTATTTTAAAAGAAAAAAAAAAGCTTTTGTTCACATTTTTATGTATAACAGTTTTATACCCTCGTCAATTGAATATGTAAAATAAAATTAAAGTAATCAGAAAAATGTAAATGTTTGTTAATTTATTTTAAATTAATAAATTACTTTTAAAATTTTATTAATGATGACGATTACAATTTAACAATACAGGAAATTCTGTTATACTAAGACTAAATTTAATCTCTTATTTGTATCTTATATTCGGACAACATTTTAAATATAATTGTCAAGAAAAATTCTGTTACGTACTTATACATAAAAGTAAACATTTCGTAGGACATATTGGTTATAAGTTATACGTTGGGCATATTGAATGAACTTTGTAAATAAAATGTTATTTCGTAAGAAAACGTATATAATACGTAGGAGTAAAAATTAACATTTATAAATTTAAATATTAAGGATTTGCCATTTACATATTTTATAAATAAAATTTAAAAGATATCCACCAAAATAAATGTGCAAAGTAACCACTCCCCTGTTATTTCAAGTTTTATACCCTTAAACTACTTAGTTAGCTGGAAATATTATAAAAATGTACCGTTCATAAATTAACTTTATGCTTAATAATATAATAGCAATGACTTAGTTATTAGCCAATGAAAAGTTAAATTGAATTTAATAAAATTAATAATGTTAAGGATTTGTAATCAAATTATAATTTCTACAAATTAATTTGTCAGAAGTAATATTTTAAATATAAAATTCAAATACATACGTAAAAACGAATTGAAAATACTTAAACTCTATTAAAATATATCACTGACGTCAGAGTGATATTGAATCAATCCTCTAGCATATTAATTTATTCTGCAAAAATAATTTTTTTAAATTTTACACACCAGACAGCTTTTCTCAAATAAGATTGGGAAAAAAACCTGATTTGCAGTTGAATACTTCGTTCTTGGCATAAATATTTTGGTATATAAGCTCAAGTTATTATTATTATATATATACATTTTATTTGCATCCGTCCATATATACGAATTTGGGAAAATTCCTTTATCTTATTTTTCAGAAAGATTCGCTAACATTTCGTCTACTTATGATGCCATTTAAAATTTCCTTTTAAATTACTCATTTTCCTCATACTTGAAATCTTTGTCGCTTATTCTTAAAAATAGAAGAAATTTGAAAAAGCTTTTCGATGTAATAAGAACGCAATTTTATATTTGGAGAAATCCAAAGTAAGAGATAAAATAGTTGTCATTTTGAAAGCACATACCGGTGTTCTTTTATTTTTCAATCCTATATTTGATTTCTGCTTTCATACTGCATTTAAAACTAATGTTTAAAAAATAAAAAAAAAAAATCAATTTTTTGTAATACTTAAAATTTGTGATTTTATTAGAAACTATTTTCAAAATTTTATAAAACTAAAAATGAATCATGATTCAATGAACTCATCTGAAGAGCTTACTCTATATTTTGAGGAAGAAGAAATTCCCGATTTTCACCCTTATCATAGGAATAGAACCAAATTTGAAGACCTTATAGGATGGATTATTGTAATAATTATTTTCTTCTCAATCATTGGTTGTTGCAGAAGAAAATGGAAAAAAATTTATGAGAGTTCTAATCCAAATACAAGTTCATACGGTACGTTTGTTTAGTAAATTACTTATTTTTTTTGAAAGTGCTTAAATAAAATGATTTGAAATAAATACAAACTCAATTTTTGCTATTCAATATTTACGCATATTTTACTCCACATACTTGGGAGCTACGAATCTTCTATTTTCGCAGACGACAAAGCAATTTCTATTTCTAAAATATTGGCGACCGATATCATTAAAAATATTCAGAATTCTGTAAATATCCTTTCAGATTAAATGGAAAATTCTTATAAATAAATCCACATAAGACTCAAGCTATTTTCATTACTAAAAGGAGAAAATTTGTTTTTTACCTTAAGATAATCTGATAATTAACAATGTGGATATCGAGTGATCTTATCATATAAAAAATACTTAGGTGTCATCTTTGACAAAAAATTAACGTTTAATAGACTTGTATCTTATATAACAAATTCTCACTATTCGCACTCTGCACCCTTTTATTAACAGAAAATTGAAAGTTAGCACCAAGAATAAACTTATTATTTTTAAAGTCATTTGTCAATCAATAATTTATTACCGTGTACCTGAATTAGGTAAATTTGCAAACGTTCACGTTAAAAGGCTCCAGGTTATTCAAAATAAGATCTTGAAAATGATATACACCTTGTCACTCCATTATTCCACTGCCACCTTGCATGATAGGCATAACATAATACTAGAGTCTAATGGTAAATATTATAACAAAATGTGAAAACTATAATAAAGAGTTAATAGAACAGTTATTAATCGATTATTTATAAGTAGGTTTAAATTTTACTAAAACAAGATTTATTTATAATAAAAACTTATTATACGAGTATGTAGGATTTTTCACTTTTTCTATTATTAATATGAACTTAACCAATTGTGCAGGTCCACAAATCTTTAAATAAGTTGAAAAGAATTAATTTAATTTTAGCCCTTAAGCATAGAAACAATAAATATAGATTAATTAAAAAACAGAATTGTTTTTATTGAAAATCATTTTCGAAATGAAACTATAATTATCCTTAAAGGATTCATTAACTTATATTGTCTCAAAAGTATTGTCTCCCTATTATACTATGCATATTTACAACATCTCAATATTTTAGTATATAAGTCCCAGTTATTATTATATATATACATTTTATTTGCATCCGTCCATATATACGAATTTGCGAAAAATTTGTTTGTCTTATTTTTCAGACAGATTCCCTAAGATTTCGTCTATTTATGATATCATTCGAAATTTCCTTTTAAATTACTCATTTTCCTCATACTAGAAATCCTTGTCCTTAATTCTTAAAAATAGAAATTTAAAAAAGCTTTTTGATATTATAAGAACGCAATTTTATATTTGGAGATGCTGTTACATTCAAGTCCAAAGTAAGCGATAAAATAGTTGTCATTTTGAAGGCATATACCGGTGTTCTTTTATATTTTAATCCTATATTTGATTTCTGCTTTCATACTGCATTTAAAACTAATGTTTAAAAAATAAAAAAAAAATTAATTTTTTGTAATACTTAAAATTTGTGATTTTATTAGAAATTATTTTCAAAATTTTATAAAACTAAAAAAAAAACAAAAGCAATACAAAAAAAATGAATCATCATGATTCAATGAACTCAACCGAAGAGATTCCTCTATATTATGATGAAGATGATATTCCCAATTATCGCGACCATCATAGCCATAGAAGCAGAACTGGAGAACTCGTTGGATGATGGATTATTGCAATAGTTATTTTCTTCTCAATCATTGGTTGTTGCAAAAGAAAATGGAAAAAAATTTATGAAAGTTCTAATCAAGATACAAGTTCATACGGTACGTTTGTTTAGTAAATTACTTATTTTTTTAAGTGTTTAGAAAAATTCAATCAATTTTTCCTAATGTACTCAATATTTGCGCATATTTTATGATGGCATCGAAAAGCAATTTTTTGAGAAATATTCATTATATAATAAATTTTTATTAATAGCCAGGCTTTTAATTTATTAGAGAATAATTAATAAATAGCAGAAATTATTTTAGGCGAGAAAATAGCTAAAATTATTGGGAGCTTCAATGTAAATTTAGTTAAATTTTTGAGTTTTCTGTGGTACTTTTAATTCGAATCTTATTTTTATTTTTAAATAAACATTTATTTTTATGCAATTATAATTGTACTTTAAGGAAATGACAATAAATAGTTATATTGAGTGTGAATAATCAATTAAAAGTTACAATATTTATTAATATTACTCTACTATAATTATTTGTTCTTTAAAATTTTACAAATTTTCTAAAAATATTGCATACTTT